TATAATGGATGCGAACGCCCTACAGCTTTCCGTCGCTGTGCCATCATTCGTAGCCGTTAACATGATGACCACTGTGATCCATTTATGTAATACCATTCACATACATCAATACAGAAGGCCATACGCATAGACAAAATGTCGAACCTATGCATTGCTCGTACTGCTACCATCGTGAACGAGTTCCATCGTCGCCTGTGGGGCTAACCGTTTCAGCTATATCTTTACCCCTCTGAAGCCTTTATGAGGCCTAACGTAGCGGCACGATATATATTAACTAAGGACAATCCACAGTGGAGTTACCCCAGAACCGCCTCATCGGTTGTACAAACCAATAAACGGGGCACCCCAACCCGATCGGTTCAGTTAGGCTCAACGCTCAGCGGCGGCGCAGAAGAAGCAGCAGCAGCAGGAGGGATAAACGTTGAGTCAGCAGCACGCATAAGAGAGTACATCGATGGCTCAATAGTCCTAAGGCTGCTGGCAGCGCATCGTAGAAAGTCAGCCGTGAGAGGCGTGAGGCGACACAACGCTAACAATTATTTACTTTGAAAGAAAAATATCAACACTGTTACTCCGCGCCACCGCTGCAGTACTGTGTGTATATTCATTTGTCCGCTGTTGATTTGCTGACCAAGTCCACTATTGAAACCGTCGGACTGTGGCAAAACTAGCAAAGTTACCATTTTAAGTCAGCACAGACGCAATGAGTGAGTGAAGGTCGATGAGCTGGAGCGGCAAAAGCTGTTGTTGTTGTTATTATTCGTGCCGTTAGCAGCGGCTCGACGGTGGCCGGCCAAGGGGTTGACAACGAAGCTCTGGCAGGAGCAGTAGCTGCACCGAGAATTGTTGTGTTCGCCTGTTGTTGTTAGTTAGTTGGCGAAGTAACGTCACCAGAGACGACTGCGAGACGATGGTGACGGTGACGGCGAACAGCAACAAACTAACCGGTAACGAAGCTAAAAGCGACGAAGTAACAGTTAACATCGAACAGCCAAACAGATCATCCTTTAGCTACAACAACAACAATAACAGTCACGGCAATGCGACAAACTGCCGGTGCACCCACCGCGAACCTGTGCGCGGGGTCGGCGTAAAACAGATCGCACAGCGCACATCATCACGCGCCACAGCAGCAAGTGTCAGTCTCAGCTTCACAGACAAGAAGCTGTTGCTGCTGCTACAACAACATCGACAGACTAGATAACAACGGCGGCGCTTGTGGCGATGGCCACAGGCGCATCGGCAGCGATCGCTGTCTCATTTGGGACAGCGTCTCGGCGTTACCAGCCCAAACGGCCCTCCTTACGAAACCGTCGCTCGTCGTAACAGTCGACGTAACAACAAGCCAGCAATAGCAAAGCGGGCAAAGGCAGCAGCACCAGCAATGATTGACGCTGCAGCAAATAACACTGCTTCCCCATAGATTAGAACACGGCCGTCTGGCTCCGTAACTTCTTTAAAAAATACGAGAAGCTAATCGAGCTCTTGAAGCAGCGAGTTCCCACTGAATAGAACCATATTCAACAATGTATTCTATGTAAAGCAAAGATCATATAGGCAATGGTGTTCGACGACGAGGTCGTGGAGTCTGTTTATCAGAAAAGGTCGTGCCGCCAAGAATCGTATCCAGCAGCAGATGGGTATGAGGGGAAGGAGACCGTCGGGGGAGGAGATAAATTCTCACATTTCGTCCACTTCCTTTCTATCTCTATAACTCAACTTGTTAGCGTTGTTTGCTTACTTGGAACTATTTCTAGTGACCACTTTGGCTGTTATCTGGTCATATTTAGCTGATGCGTGCGTCCGCCTCTCTCAGTCTTCTTTTCGAATTTCTCGTCGAACTCATTATTGAATACGGTACGTAATATTGACCAACACGTTGTATGGCCAATACCAAGGCGGTTTTGTTTGCCTTTATGTCGAGTATTCTTCTTTTTTCCGTTTTCCCGCTTTGGTTGGACGTCATTCCCACGTTATAAGACCTCAGCAAGGATACCAACGGCATTTCAGGACTCTTATTTTCTCTGCTCTATTCTATAAAGCCTCTTCTTCTGCTCTCCTTTGTTCCTATTGTTTACATTGTAAAATGTTGGGTTTCTATTGGTTGCTTTGAGGCTATTCAGCTTTTTATATAGCAGCCTCGTCTCGTTTTTAATTTGTTGGGATGCCTGCTGATCGAAGCTAATGATGGCATGAACACGAGGTTATGTTCTGCTGTGTGGCAGTGGTAATACTTCTTCCTCTGCCCCGTATGGGCAGCATGTTATACGGTCCTTCTCGTCGACGCCGTCGTCATCAAGGTTGTCGGCTCTCTCTCTCTCTATATATATATATACGTCTACATATATTGGAAGAAATCCCTGCACGGAGCGCCTTTCAGGTTGCCCCAGAGGCCGTACCAGCGGCTACAGCGCGAAGCAGCAACGCAGACACACCTCTTGTGTTTGCATGTTCTGCTTCAGAGTATGTGCGTGGAGGTTGGATGGGTACTTACTCGTATAATGTTCGTGTGATATCGATACATCGTAGGGGCCACATTCTTCTCGGTCGGCGGATGCTCGTCTGCTGTGGACGTCGACGTCGTCATTGTCATTGAGGCTGGTGCGGCTATTACGCAAGAAGGCGGAAGAAGGAAGCAACGAATGGGGCCGTTTGGGGAGAGAGATAGCGCGAGAGGACTTCCCATGACGCCGCTGCTCACTCCGTTGCCACACGCCCAGTGTGCGGTGTGCATTGTATTACGTCGTTTCCATCATTCCGGCGACGTTGACAACGGCAGTCGCCTCCATCAACATTACGATCTTCACTCGTTTTGCATAGTCTGTTGCCATAGACTAACGGCCCACTCTTCCCTCCTTGTCACTTTCCTTCTCTACCCCTCTGAGCCGCTCTTTCTTCGTTGTCCGCGCTCCGTGGTGCTCTGCGGGCTTGCGCGCCCAGGACCTATCTTACCCTCTCTCAATCCCTTCCTCCTCTCCACACACACGCTGAACCACCCCAACTCGCGCTCTTGTCGATCTGTTCCCCCTCCCCTGTGAGGGACAGCCTACGGGCCCCGAGCTCCGAGCCCAGGACCTATCATCGGGTTCGTAGTTGGGCTGTTGGTGGTTCTCACAGCGCAATTACCCCACAACCCCTCCGCATGCTGTATTTGGTCTGCGGTTACGTTCTCTTGCTTCCTGCTGCCGCCGCCACCGTGCCGCTACCGCCGCCGCCGCTGCCCAACCTTTGGTCACTAGCAATGGTAGAGCTCGATGGCTCGACGGCCCAACATGCCACTTACTTCGCTACCGTATTATTACGAGCCATTGCCGCTATCTGCCACCACTTCTATTACTACTGTTATTGCTTGTTGGCGCTTGTCCGTTTGTCCTTCCCTGTGATGCTCACAACGATGACGATCACACTGATGACCATGGAGCGCGAGGGCGGATCACTCTCTCTCTTTTTGCTTCGGTTTGGCTCTGTGCCGTTAGGCGCTGCTAGAGATACTCCTCTCGATAACTTCCCTTTGGATATTGCGCGCCTGCAGAGCAGGGCCCTGTTTGTTGTCTCCCTGTGTTTTCGCTGCCTCCAGCTGGTAACGGTCTGGGATCCCCTCCCGCGTTGTTATTCACTGTTGATGCTACCGCTGTTACTGCTGGCTTTCCTGTGCCTGTCTAAACTAAATACTTCGAATTTTACATTAAGCACCGCCGTTGGCCACTCCATCAGACGATTCGCTCCCAGCACAAAACGAACTGTGTCTATGCTCGGATTCGAACCTAAATCACCGCGTGCCCCTCAGATTAGCGAGCAAACGCGTTACCTATGACGCTACCACAGGGACTTCCTGTGCTTCTCATAGACACTCATACACAGACAGCATGAGAGAGGAAGAGACATGCACACTTACCACTGTCATTGGCAGAGACTCGCTCTAGTATTGCTGCTGCTACTTCTGATGGGTCTGCGCTGTTTCCCTCCTCCGTAATTTTCTCACTTTTTCTCTATCCACCTTTTTCTTCCTCAACTCCAACTGGCGTGGTGAATGACGACCACGACGACGAACCCCAATGACGGAAGTAGCGAGGACAAACGGGACGTCGGCACAGCAACGCCTGGGAGTCCGCCAATCAAGAACCCAGCAGCAGTAACAGCAGGGCCGCTTGTGCTGTATCAGCAACAGCAGTAGCATAAATAGAAGTCGAAGGGGACGAAACTAGAGGGGTCTCAGCCCTGTGCTGCTGCCATTTTGGCTGTTGGTCGTGGTTGTTGATTGTGGGAGTGTCCCGCAGATGCCCATGACATTTTATGGGAGAGGGTCGCTTCGATAGTAGTTCTTGTCCCTTTCTGCGATGCACAGGACCTGAAGGCCTGGACGGGTTCGTGGACATGTAATATACGCGTACACGGGTTTCACTATATTCTACCAAACATCACCCGCTACTAGTTCAGCCAGCCACCTACGGGATACAAGCGCTACCGATGAAGGAGCCCATGAGAGAATACAGCTTCTGCTGTTGCTGCTGCTGGCCTATACTGTTCACGGAAGTGAGTCCGGGGCCGAAGAGACGGTAGGTGGTACGCGCTTGACCTGACCATTAGGGTAGTTGCATTAGTGCTACAGTAGCGATTGGCGTTGAATAGCAACGATCGGCTGAGTCGCTGTGTCTTGAAAAATCTATGAGACCTATGTCATTTCCATGCAATCAGTGCCTACTCACTGGACAGCTTTTGTTGCACATTATCGTTTTGACGTCGTCGTCGACAACTCACAGTACGCCCTGACAATAACAACAACAATAACAAGCGAAAGCCCGTGTTAACAACAACAACAACAACAACAATGCTAATAGCCATTGCAGCCCGCCGACGGAGGC